AAAGCGAAAATTCATTGAAATAGGTGTCTGCAAAATGCAGAGATTTCAACTCTCTGCTAAATGGCTCTCCACCGACATACTGACATGATGCATTCACTATGAGAAAATCATGGAATAACATGGAATATTCTAAATTCACAAGTTCGATAATCTGCTGATGGATGCATAGTTGTGTCTGAATGATTCATGGTTCGGGGCACCAAATACAGCAGATGGTAAACAGCTTAATGCCAGCGCGTTTCACTGCACGAACCGCAACGTCATCAGGCCCGGACTCAGTATAAATGACTGCTTGAACGTATTTATGTCCAACAAGCGAACAATGCCAATTTTTCAATTGGTTCATCACATGCGGTCAACACTTTTTAGCTGTCAGAACAAAGTGTAATGTTCACATTAAAAAAGATCCGATCTTTTTCATTTTAACCCGATTTTGTGATTGCGCCCAAGCTTTCACTGATGACGACGGAAGATGTGCATTCGTTGCACAGTCGATTTTTCATTGCTTTTATACGCAAAGACTCAGCACAATAATATTCTGGACTCTCAAGATCAGAATTGTGAGCCTTTCCAGGGCAGACCGCAAAATTTTACTCTTCTATGCGGATGTTCAATTTCCGATTGATGTTTCCAATGTACACCTTTTCCGGGTCTCTGTAGAAAACTTTGTATGACACATTTTTGAACTTCTTCAGGGTTATTAATGGGCATGTACTTTTTAAGTTAAACGCCGCCCGATGTTCTGTCAGTCTTTTAGTAAATCCTAAACCCTATGTCATTAAGGTACTTCGTAATACGTTGAGAAGATACCTAGGGTATGAACGGTATAATTACCATTGGTCAGTATGAACTGATCAACTTTAAATTTGAGCTGGGGTGCAGAAATTCTTCGTCAAAGAATATCCATATAAAAGAGCGCTTGGATGCGGTCCGCCTTGGACAGGCTGACGTTTCTACTATTGTCCAGCATCCGATTATTGAAGGGCATTCTTTCAGTCCGACCATTGTGTCTGTCATAGTCAAAAACCAGGCTAAATTTGGTCTGCTGATGAAAGTATTCTTGCATATATTGGCAATGAAAAACCGGATGTGCATCGAATACATATCTTGTGTTGCCATCAGTGAAAACTGGGTGCAGTCACAGAATTGATACGCCAAATCGGGTCAAAATGAAATAGATCCGATTTATTTTGATGTGACATACTTTGTTCAGTCAGTGTAATAACTCTTGATTGTATGTGATATGTGATGGGCCAATTGAAAAATTAGCACTATTCGCTTGTCGAACATAAATACCTTCAAGCAGCAGTTGCACACAGTCAAGCCTGATGATGCTGCGGTCTCTGCAGTGAAACGCGTTGCCATGAAGGTGTTTACCATTCGCCGTATTTGTTGCCCCGAAACATGAATCATTCAAACAACCACATGTATATAGCAGTGAGCCCAGAGTGAGAAACCTGAAGAATTATTTTTGCTAATGGATGATTGATGGCTAATTCAGGAATCTCATACTTCTGTCCGTCAGTCAGTGTCATTGATTCACCACCTCGCAACTAGGTATCAACGTTGAGCTATAAAGATCTCATGTCATCAGCATCGGGCAATTGTTAAACAAAATTTAGAAATTCACTGTTTTGACAGAAGTTGCATATTATGCTCATAAAAAGTTTTTTATTCATATGCAACATGGTGAAAGTTTCATAAATTTAAACTTGAGATTGTTGACGTTAGTGTTGACGTATGCCGATGTAATGATTTTGCCGTAGTGGTCACGAAGATGTAACTTTGAAATCGATACTTATGACAAAAGTTTCATATTCTGCGCACAAAGAGATTTCGAGTGATGTATGATGTGAGAGGTTAATTCAGGTATTTAATAGAGATAACCACCTGAAATTTTATTAACTAAAACTATGGATCAGATGACAGCACGTTGACTTAGCGACCATTGATATGTGATATGATGGATGAAATCAAATCCCTGATACAGATCGCCATCTGTCAAAGACATAAATCCAAACTGCTGACTGTAGTCTGCGCGAAAGTACTGACATCGTACAGTCTTCGAAATGAAATAATAAACTCACTAGTTTGACGACGGCGTCGTACCTTACTCACTATCAACTGATATATGATATGATGGACTGAATTGCGCAATTCATGCAGCTGACCACTGTCTAGTTATGCTGAATTCAATGCTGCGACTGCAGTACCAAGCGCTGAAACCAACCAACGGTCTGTGCCAAAATGTCATAGACCGTAGAATGCGACAGTAACATATGATTAAGCCAAAGTCTAAATTATGATGTAGCCGAAGATTGCTGATAACAGATAGAGACCAGATTGGGCCTGAATACTTTTTATTTTGTGTGATCTGGCGTTTTTGTCAGCCATATAGTTGCTAGTTGGCTTATCAGACAATATTTATCGTATTTAATGTATTATATTGGCAGCGTGCATAAATTCATGCCATCCACGATCATCATAGAGTTTTCCACCTTTGCTTTTGTTTCTCGTCTTATTAATTTTAATGTTGAGTGCTGACCGGGCGACTTCTTTACGGCCTTTAGAACGACTTTCTTTCCTACCGTCTCTTAAACCCCGCACTGTCATGCATTGTGCATCACTTATGTGCTTTCTGGGCTGCACTTTTGTTTTGGTTATGGTGCTGACTGGTCGTCGTCTGTTTTTCGGATTATCATCGACGAAATGCGAAGCTGCTAAAGATATTGAGGTTTCTATTAATCATACTCATCGTGTTCATTTTCCACTCATCACCGTTGTTCAACAATCTCAGCGCTACCTCCAGAAGTACAGGTACAAACTGGTGGAGAAAAATGCGTGCAAAAATGACAGTTCGGACGTTACCTTGCTTATAGCAGTACTTACGAACCCCTCACGGTTGTACAACCGCATGTTTATACGCAAGACTTGGGGTCACCGCCGTTTCTACCCGCACGTCAAAGCCAAAGTACTTTTCATGATGGGATCAAGAGGTCCGAAAGAAGATGAGAAGATCCGCTTGGAAAGCAACCTTTACCATGACATCGTCCAGGAAGACTTCTTTGACTCTTACAAGAATATCACCTATAAGGTGTTGATGGTGATGAGGTACACACTTATGTACTGCCAGCAGGCGAGCTTCGTTCTGAAAGTGGACGACGACGTTTTCGTGAACATTTTTGAGCTGGCCAGCTACATTTACCACATACGGCGGTACGTGAAAGCGAATCAGAAAACTATATTTTGTGACGTCGTTAATCAGACTTTAGTTAATAGGGACAAATTTCATAGATTCTACGTTTCTAAGGAGGAGTTCGAACCGAACTGGTTTCCAGAATACTGCAGCGGGCCCAGCTATTTGCTGTCCGTCGATGTAATATGGACTCTTTACAACGCAGCTATGCATTCGAAGTATTTCTGGATTGAGGACGTGTACATCACTGGCATCCTTGCATCACAGACCGGCGTAAGCCTACAGACTATCAGTTCAGTGGCGTTCGGCATATGTCCCGCAGCAGAATACTACAATTTTATTAAACATGGTCTGTGGTGCCACCTCTCGTTTCGGCCTCAGATACTGTACCCGCTTTGGAGGAACCTGCTTCGATGGTATAATTTCGAAGTGAGCACATCTGCCTGATTTTAGCTGAGTAGATTACTGGAGTAACCGCTCAATTCGTTGATCCTACAAAGGTACCTGAGTGCTATTTTCTTGAAGTGCGTTCGACGTCTCTTTGTGGTTTGCCATAACTACTGTCTTCACGTATTTCGTGGATTTGTAGTTTCACTGAATCGCTCCCACATTTTCTCGTCTAAATCATGTCTGATCTGTACCTTGAACGTGGTTAAAATGCAGTACACACTTGCTTATTATGTTTGCTAATTGTCTTTTGTGTTTATAGCTGTTGCTAATATCGAACAACACCTTGTGTTAACACATCGGTTGTGTTTGGTTAGTAGTGATGATTGTCAGAGGCAATTGTTTGACTGATGCTGATTATCAATGTTAAATAGTTGTGACATCGGTTGTGTTTTATCTGGTAATCACTAAATCTAAAGTTTTTCTCAGATTATCTCGGATGGCTTTATGGCAGTAAGCAACTTATGTGAGACCTGTAGAAAATTAACTAA